CACACATAATTCTTATTGAATAATGGAAGCAGCAAAGAAATCTGAGAGTAACTATGTTCTCTAGACTAAAACAGCCACAGCCTGGTTCTTCAAACAGATTCACTCATGCAGGGATGTTCCTGCTTGCATACAACAACATAAAAAGCCATCATTCCTGTAACTGGAATCTAGATAACACAGCAAATGACATCGAAGTATAGTCATTCCTTAATTACACATGCACAGAATGTATGCTGGAAGCTTTATTAACTTGGAATATGTATAAATCCCAGAGATGCACATATGAAAGACGGGGTACCCTATCAATTAAGAATTTTCAGATTTCCCACTGAATACCTGAGGTGGCACTGAAATGACTCAGAGAAAAAGAATCTCATTTAATTTTGTTGAAAAGAAAAATCACTCACCATTCAGTGCTGCCCACGACAACTAAATTTCCTCCTTTTCCCCCATTACACTGAGATTAACACTCTGAAATTTGCACCAAATGGGAATTTGGCACAGTTTAGGAAAAGCAATCTCATTAATTAATAACTTGAATTATGTAAATATGAACCTGAGATATGCAATTTGTTTTAAAAAGCTAAAAGAGCTAATGTTAACTGGTTTATCCATGTCCAGGCATTAATCAGATGCTTCTAGGAAAAAAAAAAAAAAGCCTACAAATGCTTTAAGAGCATCACAGTCCTGCTCTTCTCCTTCGAAGGGGTTGGCTGCTTCCAGGACCAGCAAGTCCGGGCTGACTCCAGTTAGACCATGTCCCTTGGTTCAGAAGGACGTAACGCACGACTGGGTCCTGCTTGGCGAGTGGCTGGCTGGAGAACAGAAAAGGGCAAGAGCTCTGCATCGAGGCTTGGGGATTAAGTTCTTTATCCAGACTTTACCACATATAACACCAACGCTGGGATTGCTGCCCATTAATGCATTTATCCTTGGTTGTTATATCTCGCAGCGCTTGTGACACAAGTGTTGTTTTAGAGGAAGGAGGAAGGGATGGAGAGAGGGAGGGAAAAAACTTGTACAGACGCTGTGCAGAGGGAAATATCGTCCAAGGAAAAAGGCCTGACCCCACCAGAGTTTTTATTCCATAGATGTTCCCTGTAAAGTGTAACTGAAATTGAAACACAGCAGAAGGGGCAATAAAAACAACAGGTCACCTTTTGAGTCACTGAGATACCTGATACTAGTTTCCTTCATCTGAGATTTACTCTGGCGTAGTTGTACCAAGTCTGAGAAAATCAGCCTTTCAGCTCACAGCCTTTCCAAAATAATTGCTGGAAAATATAAAATAAAGCAAAATTGGTGAAATCTGCAGTCCTTTGTTCTTCCTTATAAGCCTCTTTAGAATAGCAAAGAGGCTTCAGTGACTCATAGACCAATAGAAATCCCCACAGCTTGCAAGTATTCAGGATGCTTTGCCGCTGCAAAGCAGCTCACATCACACTGCCTAACCTCAGGTGAAAGTGTGCTGTGATCTTCTGATCTGCAGGGTTGGCACTAGCTTCAAAACAACCGCTTGCATGATGGCTATCAAATTTTTCAAAGGCAAAAAGAGATGCTGAGGGAGTTCTCCTACTAGACCTTGAGACGGGGCAAGGAGTCCCAGGGCCATAAACTGTGAGAGTGAGACAAGGAAAATCCAATATCTTGGATGAAAAGTATATATATAGGAGAGCTCTTTATTCTGAATATGCTTCCAAAATCCAGGCCAAAACAGTATCATCAAGACCTTCCTCAGGAGACTGGAATTAGGCTTAGCACTCCAAGGTATCTTGTTGCTCCATATTCATATTGATAGTGAGTTTAAAAGAATAAAATATTTGTCCTAGAGTGTGATTAAAGATCAATACTCCAAACAAAACAATTTTTTGCACCCACAAATTCAAGTTTACTTCTAGAGTAAGAGTTTAATTTTTCATTGGCCAACAGAGGTACGTGGCACTGCAAGAGTGCAGTAACTTCAAGATTTCATAAGAAACTTTATTTTACATGAACCTGAGAATTAACTGCTTTCCATCAAATATTTTACTGTTTACCTCTTAAATGGACTTTTTTTCTAACACTTGAGGAGTACTGGCCAAATTCTCTCCTTTTCACTCAAAGCCCAGTCCTTAACTGGGCAGCTTGCCCAAGAGGGGACAGCAGGTGTTGGCCTTGGGTTAATAAAAGATTGGCATGGGGAGACCAGGAGCTGCTCCACACAAGTACCACCGCCGGGTTGCCAATTCAGATCGAATCCAGAGCAGTCACATCTGGCAGGCAATACCAGGTAACGCCTGCACAGTGAGACGTATAACCAGGACAACCGGTGGATGTAATCTAGTTCTTAGGAAATTATATAAATCTAAGTGAAGTCAATGGGAATCTTTTTGTGCAATTTAAATTATATCCCAGAATTACCAGAGCTGGAGCAGCCTTCTAGGCAGCCGAGCAAAGGGTCCATGGAATGAATGGCATGGACCCAGACTGTCTCTGCACCCTGGCAAGGCAGAAAGCTCTTCAGTATTGGGCTGAAATCTATCAACAAGCCTCTTGTATCATTTTGCGTGTGTTTTTTCTTCAGTAATTAGGAACTTTTATCTATCAGAATACATCAAACCTGTACCTTCCACAAGCACTGAAGTCACTCAGAAAAAAATACAGCAAACATCAATGTGAAACTAGAAGGCAAGAAAAAAAACATTCTGCTACAGCATCATCTAAACATAAGACAGTAAGTAATAGCATTAAAAAAAAAATCTATTTCACACAGATGAAAATCATTACAGTTCTCTAGAGACCTTCTCTCTCTCTGCAGTAACCCGTGTCATTTCCTAGCTAGTAAAAATGTGCCACAGGATATCAAAAGATGGTAACGTTCTTCTAATTTTAATATTCCTCTAATCCAATAATGGCTTGTTTACTGCTTTCTAATTTAAAGGTAATTCATTAGATGTATCCTGTCACGTCTTATTGGCATCGAGTGCGTAAGAATCATACACACCTCTGGGGCATGTCAGTTGTACTGCTAATATCCTATGTGGTTCCCTCCATCTAAGTGGCTATCGATGCAATGGTGCTGATAAAGGAGTGTGTGTGTGTACGCACATATAAATTACAAACAAAAATATTAAAATACTTCAGGGATGAGCTCTGGACCCAAGCATTTACATTCAACACTAAGAACTCTAGCAAACAGAAAATGGTTAAGCTAATGTAAGTGATCCGTGTGCAAATATTTGTGAGAGTGACACAAAGGGTCTCACAGAGCCTGTGGGAAAGCCCCCGAGTGACCTGCGGGGGTCTTGAATGAGTCTGCTGCAAAACGATGAAGGTTAAGGAAGCATTAGACAGCAGAGGCAGCCTGAACTCAGAAATGCACATTTCAGGAGCCAGACCGTGCTTGGCAACATCTGTTGTGATTCTGCAAAAGCTACCCAAGACAGCTGAGTTGTTGAGTAACCCTACAGCAATGTAACAGGATCTGAGGCCAAGGACTTCAAACCTGCTAGACCTTGGCAGCACGGAGGCACCGAGGTCCTGGGGTGAAGGCAGGCGCGCAGCAGGAGCCGTCAGCACAGCGGGGGAACGCGCCCCTTCCTGCCTCGCCAGCTACGGCAGCATCCACCTGGCTGCTCGGTTTCCCTCCTCGCTCCCCTGACACACACTCCGCACCCACCTCCACGTGAGCAGCTCTACTCCAAGCAATAAGGCAGAGGAGGCAATCTACTACAGGTAAATCCACTGTGTGCTAAAACAGGTTGCTCAGGCAGCTTTCCTGCCACAAGGGCTGAGAACTCTTTGGCTGTTTATATTCTGCCAGCAACCAGCCCGGTCACATCACCTCTCTCTATATCAGGAAATTAAGAAGTCCTTTTTCAATAATTTCTTCCCGAGAAGTGAAACCTTTCATCAACCAGACTAACCACACGCATGCAGCCCTTTAACGAACCATGCCTATCTCAGAGGAGGGCACAGGACAGAAACACAATGAAAGCGTGCTAGGAAACCACCCCGCCTGTCCAAACTTGTGTTATTCCTTAGGATCACGGCAGGATCACCACATCAGTTTGGAAGATAGTTTGGGTCAGTACGTGTCCAAAACCATCACCTCATTGGCTGTCGATGATGTCATGCCCAGGCATTAATCCCCAGTGACTGCAGGTTTAACATCACACATATCACCGCATCATCTACATAACGACAATGAACGCGAGTCTTAGAGGAAATTACCAGAGCAGAGAATAAAGCAACTTGTTGAAACAGGGAAAGTCACATCTCTTAAGTGATTATTTCCAGCTTTTTTTTGTCAAAGTGAAGTTGGTGGGGTCAGGAAATAACACATGCCTCACTGAAAGGAGTGGGTATTGTTGTAGCTTTATTTTAAAGAAAGTAAATCTTCAAGATCTCCCACTCAAAAAGATCAAAGTGCCAGTGGTGAGAAACCACCTGATCTGGGAAATAAAAGTATTTCAGGAGCTGCAAAATCTGTAACTGAAATTAAAAACATTTTTTTAAAGGAAAAAAAAAATATAAGAGTGATATCTACAAAGCAAGCTTGACCGTTTGCTAGTGACATCCTCATCACTGGGATAACTATGGCAAGAAATTAATTACGGACAAGCACACTCGTCCATAGATAGATTTACCTATAACATAAATACTTGAAGTATTACGGACTGACACTCACACAGCCATGCTCCCAGAGCTTGCCCAGCCCGCGGTACTGCCCAAAAACGTACTTAAAAGCACAAATATCCCAGGCACTTGCCGGCGAGGGGGGTCTGCCCGGCGCCGGGCTGCGCGGAGGGGAGCCCACTGCCTCCCACCCGCGGCCGCCCACTTCGGGCCCGGAGAAGTCACTGCTACCCACCGCGCTCCCCGCAGCTGCGCTCCTAAAGACAAGCTCCAGCTGCCTCCCCCCCACCCCGGCGCGGATCGCCCCCCGCCCCCCCCCAAGCCCGCCCGAGGGGAGCCCCGGCTCGCCCCCCCACCCCCCCCCCCCCCCCGGCACCGCTTACCTGCCCGCCGGTTCCGACGAGGAGAAGCTGCGCCGAAGCGCGACGGAGGCAGGAACACGCGTGTCGGGAAAGGGGGGGAAACCATCCACGGGCGAGCGGGGAGCGCACCTGGCTTTCAAGCTGCCGGGAGGATGCTCCGCACAGGCTCCCGCGCGGAGCGGCGCATCGCCCAAAGTGGCTTTGGAGCTCCCCTCCCACTCCTCCTCTTCAGAGACGGGGGGGGGAGGAAGCACAGTGTTACGGCTTTTCTTTCTCCGCCACCTCCGCGGGGCTCCCCCCTCTCCCTCCCTCCGCTTTCCCCCCTACTGCGTGGCTCCTCCGCGCGCGTTAAGCGCGGAGCTCAAGTGCCCTCTCCCTCCGCCCCGGGCAGCGAGGATGCTGCAGGGGAGATTGCACCGAGAAGATCGCAGAGCCCCACGCCCCGCTCCGCCCGGGCTTTTAACCGCCTAACAGAGCCCTGACCTTATTTCAGCATCCGAGCGGTCGCCGCTCAGGCGAGGGAAGAGAAAGGAGCTGGTTCTTCAGCTGGGAGCCGGGCCGGAGTTTGCAGCATCTTTTGGAGACAGCCGCAACTTGAGAAGGGCGCGGAGGGTCAGGGCCACAGCCTCCCCCCGCTTCTTATCGCAGAGCTGATCGCTGCTGCCCCGCACACCACCAGCCTACGAGTTATCAATAAATTATCACCTTCAAAAATTTAGTTTAAATGGAAAATGTGAAAGATGGTGTTTCACTCCAGGGTCACTTCGAGAGGCTTTCCAGCAGCCACTGGGAAACGGATTCTGTTTCTTGCTCTGACACTGACTTTCTGTACAACATTTATCACCTCGCCTTACACCCTCAGTTTCTGCTGTAGCTCTGGTGCCTGCTTAAACAGTGATGTCCAAATATGTGCTTCAGGGGGAGTCAGTCATTTAAGTATCTATAGATATTAGTCCCATTTCTGTGCAAGAGGGCAATGTCTCACCATTAAGTGACCACAGAGCTCAGTGCAGGGGTAGGCTGCTCTTGGCTACCTTCCCTGGAAGCTATTGTGATACAAATCACCATCAGTGTGGACAAACGTTCCTCAAACTGGAAGAACCACTGAAAATATGCCTTGTGGAACAGGGAAGGTTACTTTTATCACAGGAAATCACTCATCGGCTACTGATGTGGAACTGCATCTTGCTTTTCCAGTTGTCCATGTGCAACATTTTTAGTGCACGTGTGAAAAACAGTAAAAAATCTCAGTAGCTTTCACACCACGGTTCATTGTAAATTAATGATACAGTAGCAGACTCACATCTTGGAAAAATTCATTTAGCATGAAAGAAAGAGTCCAAACCCCCAGCTTTAGCTCTCCCTCCTCTCATGTTAGCATAACTCTGCTCTTTTAATCAACAGGAGCTATGATACAAAAATAGGGGGGAACAGGCCCACAGCATCAGAACACATCTCTATCTCATTCCTCACATGTGGAGCTACCATCTTCTTGCCTAGTGCTCCTGACACTTAACGCCCCTCCAGACTTCTAGTGAGCCTAGAAAAGGGAACAGAGAAAAGGCAGAGAAAGAAAGGAGCTCCAAGCTTGCACAAAGGATTGTGAAAAGTAGATCTGGGGAAAAGGGAAAGGGCTGGGTGTACTGGTGGGAAAGGGGACAGATTTAGAGGACAGGAGACACAAATCAGCAGGAAAAAGGTCTGGTCTTGCTGCCTGGGGAACAATTTGTTGGAAGCAGGCTAGCCAACGCATCAGACATGGATTATGTAGGATCAACACCCCCCAGCACGTGTGGTCGGAGCAGTTCTCTTGCCAGGGGTGCTCTCGCAACCGGGCTGCTTTGCTGCCGGAGACAGGAGTTCACAGCTCTCCCTGACCTGGTGCAGTCCTGCGCCCACATTCCCCTCCCCAGCCACCTCTGTCTTGGGCCTGACTCTTAGACTCAGTTTTCCCATCCAGACGACGGAGACAGGCACATTACTTGCGCAGGGTTGCTGTCAAAATGAATTAAGTGATGTCCAAAGAGCACTTTGAAATGCAGATATTACGCTCACTAGTTTTAATGCCTCCAAAGCGGTCTCCAGATATCTCTAAATCCTCAAGATATCCCTGATCAATTCCTGTTTTACAGATGAGGAAGCCGAGCAGAGTGACGGATGCTTTAGTCCATCTCTTTTATGTTGGGTTCTGCGGGTCCCCCTGACCTTGCCACGGCTCAGGCTCCCAGTTGCTGGCCCACAGTGATCGAGTCACATCCAAAGCCACATTTTGCTGATGCCATAGAACAAGCATTATACATGCAGCGCCTCCACACCTGATTACCAACCCCCTATAAAGCTATTTCCTTTGACAAGTTAATGCCTCGGTTTGAGCTCCCATCCCCTCCTGCAACCTGGTGTTAACACATGTATTTCTAGCATCTGCTGGGCCCTGCAGAACTCCACCAGAAAACGTGGGTGTTGTGGAGCTGAACTGAATCTCCTCCTGTATTTTCCTTGCCTTTGTAGGTGTACTAGGAAGGAGCAGGACACAGGAGCTTCTAGTCCCCAGGCCTGTGATCAAATTATCTCTCCCTCTGTCACACATCCTAATCATCACAGCTGGCGGTCATGCCAACAATATTAACGCTGCTGAGTAGCTTTCAGTTTTGCAATTAGCAATGTTTTCTGCTTCCCTCAAATAAAAAAAATAGGCTTGTACTACTTAATGCTGCATAAATGATACAGATACATTCAAGGCCCATGTTACTGTCTTGTCAAGATGAACTGACATTATAAGTGCTGTAGATATTTTAAATCTTTTGAAGATTACAATGGTTACAAAGCTTATTATTTCTAAATGTGTTTATCCTTCCTCTCTTTTTTGTTTGCAATATTAGGCAATGTGCAGTTTAAATAAACAACTATTGTACTATTAAACATTGATTAAAGAAAAGGGTTCTATTTAAATTATTAAGTGGTAAGATAAAAAGCATCTCTTCTCTTTTGTATGTTACTTTATTCAGAAGTCAAACTTCTGTAGTCTCACTGAATGCTAATGAGTAGCATAATAATGCACAAGGGCAAGATGGGGCTGAGTAATTAAAAACAGAGGCCAGAAATCAAAGGGCTTGAAATATACTTACCAAAATAATTCAATTATACATTAGAAACCTGGGATAATCAAGACACATCCCACAGTTTCATTCATCATTATGCCCCAATTTAATATCTATACTGGTTTGCTGTTCACAGGAAGCAGCAATTGGGACTTTCGTGTGCGATGCCTCAGCTGAAGAGACAAAGGCAACGTGCGCTCGCGTCCCGCTCCCATCATGCTGCACCTTGAAAATGGCTTCATTTGACTGAGAATATTCTCAGTTATCTGATGTAGGGAGCTATTTTCAGCCACAAGCTATTTCTGTATTGGTTCTATATTCATTTTCTCCATATTTGCAATTAATTAATACAAATCTCCACACCCACCATTTTATCTTCCCTATAAACCCATCTCCCATGTCTCTCCTTGGCTTCAGGCTTTCCTGGTTATCCACAAAAACCTCCGCCAAGCAAAGCAGCGGGTAGGTTCATTCAGCAAAACACGTATTTAGCTGGGATGGCATCGTGAGCCTCTGAGTTTTTCAGGCAGCACAAAGTGGGTCAAAAAATCCTGAGGTAGCTTTGCAATGTCACCAACATTATGGGCCAAGGAGTCCCAGCACAGCTTCTAGTCTCTGAGATGGCAGAGGACAGGACTATACATTTCAAGGAAATTCCAGTGCCATGTGATAAAACAAGGGAAAAAGAGGCAGTCTGGTCTTGTTCAGTGAATTTGGAGTTCAGCAGAGAATTGACGTGATTTTGCCTTGTGCAGTCTTGATGCAATAAGCAATGATCAAACCCAGTCCTATCGGCACTGATCACAGCTTCACGGAGGGAACTACAACCGACGCATTGTCAGGAACCATGGGAAAAACAGAAAAAGTGAACAGAAGTTTCCAACTGACAAAGGATAGCACGGTTGTTCAAAAAGTTTGCAGATGCACAATGTTACCTGCGTTCTGACACATAATTAAGGCGACAGGTGAAAACTGTTGGAAACAATTAATTTCATTAAAAAATCGGGAATTTCTGCAAAACCAACACTCAGTTGCATATCAGCTTCCTGAGGAATCAGTCTCATTGTCTTATTAGAACTTTTAAAGGTCTAAGCATAGAGACTACTAGTTGGCTCTAATGAGCAAAGAAGTCAAACAAAATACTTCTGTACTTCACAAGCTGAGAGGAACCTGTAGGCCAATAGAGGTTGCAACATTAAACAGTAAAAAAGCGAAACAAGAAGCTTGGGTCAAGTGTTCCAAAACTAGGGGTCTTAATTAAAATGAAGGTTATGACTCTAGCAGATGGGTGCTGTTTAGCATAGTCCCAGCTATTACTGAGATTTGCTGCATCTTCAGTTTAGAACAAAACAAAATGCTGCATGAGAAAGCAAGCGAGCATGCTTCAGCCTGTTTATGACAGTGGCTAATGTGTGGGTGTCTCAAACTTTCCCTAGACCTATCAGCTACATCTTCCTCAATCAGAAATAAAGCTCCTTTTGAGGTGATTCAGCTTTCCCAAAGGGTGATGTACATTCTTTTATTGAAAAAGAGATCACTAAGACAAACTAACCAGCCCGTAATGTGAGCTGGAGGAGTGTTTGCCAAAGGGGCAGAAGGAAATGTACAAGTTAAGACAGATATAATTTCAGCATACAGAGAAGCAGAGAGCAACATGCTTATTTTTTCCCATTTTTCTAATGAGGAATTCATTTTTAGAAGAGAATTTACTAAGATACACCTTGCTTGATTTTGCGGAGGGATTGACTGAAAGGGGGGAACTAGGGGCAGAGCCTGAGCTACACGGGAGCCCCATTGCTCAGTATTCGTTAGCCCAGTTTGGTGATGAAATACTCTAATAGCTATCTTAGTGACATCCTTTTCCGAGAAACAGTCTGGGGCAGTAATTCTAACAGGACAAGTCAGCTGTAATGAATCTCTTACCTTGGCGCAGATGGGGCCTGACTTTACTCACGTGCATAGCTTCTTCCACATCCTAAGACTATATGGAGACAAGAAGCAAGTTGCTTAGCCTCTTATTTTACCTGCCTTAAACAATATAGTGGCAAAAAATAAATGAACTTCATTCTTTTTTAAATATGCAATTACATGAAATAGATTATAGAAGTGACAAAATCCAGAACAACTCCACAAACACAGAGCTGGGCTCTGATTTCTATCAGTATGAGATCAAAGTAGTGTAGTTGCTCATTTGCAGCTCAAAGCTGCATTATTTTCCCTAACTCATGCTGTATTACTAGTCAACTGAACTCTGTAAAGCAGAAATATCA